TGCTCTGGCTAGGCAGTGACGGGGGGGTGGTGCGAGGGGGCTCACACAGGTGTTAGGTGTTAGTGTCAGACAGGCCTGGGTTCGAATACCAGCTCCACTCTTTGCTAACGAGTACACGGGCCTTAGCAAAGCAATTACTCTCAAAATGCCTCAGGCTCCCCCACTGAGAAATACCATACCTACCCTGCGGTTAGTAGGAGAATCTAAAATAATGTATCTAAAAGACCTAGGACAGTCAACACTTGAGAGCTATTCCTCATTACCGTAGTGTCTGGACTATGAATTTCTACTCCTAATTAACATGTTCAGGTCAAGAGAAACTTGTGGAGACCACAGTCTGCCTTTCTGAGCTGTCTCGGATATGCCAGTTGGGTAGTTTGGACTGGGGCCAGGGCAGGTGGAAACTGGGAATCTGACATTTCTCCATTACAAATCCATCTTTTACTCTCACTGAAAGTTCAAATTCATACCATAGCTCTCCTTAACAAAACGCAAATGCCCTTGAAAATGGGAATATGTATCGTCCCTTCTTTATCCCTTCATCCCCTGGCCTTTTCTTCCACGTGTCCCGGATACCCGGGACAGGTCAATGTCAGGGGGCAAGAAGGGACGATCACTAGAAGAGAACTCCAGCTGCCTCCCAAATGCTGACTGCTCGCCATGTGCACCAGCACGTGCCTAATGCCTTGTCACCATCACGTTCCCCACGAACAACACTGCCCAGCTATCTTCACAGCAAACCCCGCAAGACCTCACCCCTCGAGCGTATCCACCAAGTTTAGGACACACACAGGGTTTTGTGGATTTTCCTGACGTTTGGATTCATTCTCATAAAGGGTAATTTCGTTGCCCCATTTTTCACCCCACAGTATTCCAGAGAAGAAAATTTACTTGATTCCTCCTTTCCATCCTTGCATTAAACTTTGTGATTGATGAGCTGTTGTTTTATCGGTCCTTCTCAGGTAATATTCTCACCATAATATTAAATTAGAAAAAATAAGATCCTATTTCCCTCACCTATAAAAGTTTTATGATTTTTTTGTTCATGTTCAATTCGTGTCAGTCCATTGGGTCACAAGTGTGCCAATTCCAATATAAGCATAATGTGTCACTATTACGGGAACACTTCACTCTGCCTGAGAGGATCCCGGATGACTAAAGTTTTCTATTTGAGTGCAGAAACTTTATTGTGTTATTCAGATGGCAGATTTCCTTATTTATATAAATATCCATTTTTCTATTTAAATATATGGCCTGCCCCATCTTTGGGGATAATAAGCTCCTTGTGTTTAATACCCTTCATGACAAGTGCGATTTACACGCGTCATAAAATAACCTATTTCATAAATGGAGTTGTTCAGGAAACACGACACTCAGCTGAAACCTCTGAGCGGGGCTGCGATGTTAGGGACCACGAGGGCTCCGCCGGCCACAGTCTGGCTCTGCTCCTGCCAGTTCTTGGGCCCTCTGGGGTGGGCGGGGGCAGGCCCATGGCAGGGTCCTACTCCGCAGGACTGTGGTCTGCTCCCTGGGACTGAGCCCTTCACCCAGAGAGAAACCTGTTACTCTCTCGCCTCTCCCGGGTCTCCAAACTCCTCTGTCCTCAACTTCAAGACCTTAACTTCCACTTGGATGTCCCCGATCTTTCGGTTCCCCAATGTATGGAATCTGCAGGACTCATCTCATCTCTTCGGCCTTTGGCTCCGATGCCAGACTCTGGCCCCATCAACTGGAGAAGGGTCAGAGAGCCTGCGTCCTTATAAAGCTGCTCCCTTGAAAGGTGATGGGTGGGACGGTGTCACTTAGAAGGGGATGAGGCACCATTCATGATGTGTTTCTCCCAGCGGATTCAAGAACAGTCTCCTGGTTCTCATCAGAACTTGGGCAACACAACTGCAGCCAAGCCCTCGGGGGGCTTAACAGACTCCAACCCTCTACTCGGAGCGTTACCACTTCTCGGCTGGAGCTCTGATAAAGCCTACTGTCATCCATCAGCTTCCCTGAGATTTCAAGATGTCAGCTATGCCTGGGTTGTACAGCAGAGTGAAAAGCTGCCCGTGGCCTCCCGTTGGGGGAGGCCAGGCACCGCTGGAGTTGTATGAAATGCCCTCACTGCTAACAGCTGCTTTGATGCCTCCCAGACCCACTGGGTTCTGCTCTCAGGGTTCTGGCGGTCCCGCTAAGGCTGCAAAACTCGTGCTCATTCCAGGTCACGTTAAGACGCCACACCTGCTCGTGGATGGATCCCTGCACAACATCTCCACCATGTGGCTGTCCGGCCCTCTGCAGCGGCATCTCCAGTGACAACAAAGTCCCTAAGTCCAGAGGCAACGCATTCTAACTTCAAACGGCTTTATTAAAACCCTACTTCAGACTGAGCTTTAGCACCAACGCCAAGAGCCAAGTTTACGCCTCTGAGCCGGTTAGAACAGGTCTAACTGCAGGTAAGCAACCGAGCGTAGTAAGACTCCGTGCTCCTGGGTCTGGTCGGGACCGAGCGAGTCGACCCCATCTCCCTGTGGTTAAGAATGAAAACAGTCAGTAGACAGTGCCTCCTCCCTGAAGATGAGAACGGGGTGTTTCTGTGCACGGAAACTCCTGGGTCACAGTCATCATGCTCATTATCACTTTCCCTTTGTTCTTCTGCTTGGCAAGCCTTCAAACATTGGGAAACGCCTGTCCTGTTTCCTCTACGCCTCCTCTCATCCTGGGGAAACAACTGTGCCTCGTAGGACAGCTCTCGAGACCCTTTACCATCTAGAATTCACGTCTGCTTGTCAATGCAGCAGCTCCTGTCCCTCTAGCTCTGTTTTTGTACCACCCGTGTTGGTTTAGAGACACACTGTGCTGAAAGCATCCTCCGTGTGAGCCGGGAGGCACAGAAGAGACCCCCCCCCCCAAAGAAGCCTCCCCTGTGACGGTGCCAACCACAGGCCCCGACGGTCAAGCAGACGGGGGGCCCAGGGGAACTTCGGGAGCCCGCCCAGCCACCCAGCCCTGACCTTTACGTCAGGGAGATGGTTTCCCGCTCTCCCCAGCTGGCACTGGGGAGAATCCTCTGGAAGCTTGGCTCCCTGCAACTTCCGTGCCTCGTGCGGGCCCAGGAAATGATGACTACAGCAGGGACAAGTCTGGATAGCGCTGGGTGCGGACCATCTAGGTTACCAGCTCGGACTGCGGTCACCGAACACCACAGCCCGGGGGCCCACACGACAAGCATCTGTTCCGCTCAGCTATGGAGCTAAGAAGGCTCAGATCCCAGCTGCAGCACACTGGGTGTCCGGTGAGAAGCCCCTTCCTGGGTCACAGCTGGCTGTCTTCCCACTCACATGTGGAGGACGGGGCTCTCGGAGGTCGCCTTGTAAGGGCACTAATCCCCTTCAGGAGGGTTCCAGCCTCAGGACCTAAGCACCTCTCCAAGGCCCAGCCTCCTCGTATGAGCACACAGAGGGTCAGGATTTCAACCTAAGGACACAAACGCGCAGTCCACGTCATGGCTTCTCCCCTTGGCAGCCCCATCTGCCAAGAGAGCAGTCTGAGTGTTTTCTTCCCTTCCTTTTATGAATTCCTTTCTAATCCTGGGAAGAATCATCCTTCCCCCGACAAAACTCCCTGGGTGCAGGGATGTGGCTGAGGCTCCGCTGTTACTCGGCTCTGCCCATGTCCCCAAGAACAGGACGCCCACCTGGGAGGACTCCTGCCGCTGGTGAAGGCTGGGTCCACATTCAGAGCCCTCTTGACTTGTTGGTACAACTGCCCAAACGCCACTCTGGGAGGGAGTGGGGCCTCCGCCCGTGGGAGCTCTCCGTCCCTCTTGAATACTCCAGACGTGCTTCTGACCTTGCCAGCGAGTGCCTTGTCCTGCAGCGCCTTCCAGACAGGGGGCACGGGCTCAGGGGCGCCTGCATTCCACACTGCCAGGCTCCCTCCCCCCATTTGAGCCTCACACCCTCCTGCCTCGGCCAGGCCACCACAGGGCACATCCCACACCCGTGGGAGAGCAACAAGGTGGGTTTGTCACCTCACGTAAGATGTCCTGAAGTTGGAGGCTCTGGGTCAGTTCAGCAACTCCGTGGTCTCGTCAAACACCTGGACTCTGTCCATCTTTCTGCTCCACCAGCCTCCTGGCCCCCATCTTCACTTTGCCCCTGGTGGCTGCAAAGCGGCCACAAGGACGGCAGGTGTTCCTGCTTTATATAGCCTGTCATCCAAAGACCGGAAGGATGCTCCCTCCTCAAGCACCTCCTTCTGTTCACAACAAAACCTTTCCCAAAGCTCCCAGCAGATGGCCCTGCAAACTTCAGAGGCCTAGTATCCAGCCGCGAGGTGGAAACGTCAGGAATCCTGCATTTTTTTCTGTTCTGTTTGGCTGTGGCTTGTCACCGTGTACCCCATCTCTCAGCAACGGTGAACACGGTGTGTCTGAGTCTCCATTCTTAAATCTTTTAAACTTGGTTTCACAGCCTCTTGGTGGAGCTAAGCATTTCAGGGAGTCTAAATGCCAGGATCGGCAGAGGGTCCGACGACGCCCCCCTGGGACACCGAGGGAGGGCAGGGGTTGCAACCCTGGGGCCAACCTCTTAGAGAAAGATGCATGCAGATGGGAATGTGCTGGTCATTGAGCCGAATGTCGACGGAACCTCCAGGTCTGGTCACAACAGCTCCTGTTCGGCTATGTCACCACTAAGCTCTATTTCTATTCTTATTTGTTTGAACTTTAAATTTTATCAAGTTTGCACTTATCCCTGATTTCAATCCGGCAGACACTTTTGAATCCTACTTTTGACATCAAAAGTAGTAGCTCTTACTCCTTGCCTTGTGTCGTGTGCAAACTTAATCAATATCCTCAATCCAGTAACTGATCATTGAAACCAGCCGGTCAGAGAAGCCACGATAACCTCTAGGAGAATATTCTCACAGGTCACTTACGGGATACTTGAAGGCACAACTGAAAAAATCAATTAAAGATCTTACAGACTCCATGAATCTCAACACCCCTGTGAAATGGTCTATTTTATTCTGAGGTTGCAGGACCAGGCATCATCTAATTCTTGGGAAGCTGAAGGAGAAACCCAACAACAGCAAGTTACATATGCCTTTCCAGACAGCCTGATGCCTCCGGAAGTCCGCCAGGAGCGTCTAGAAACTTACCGAATGCATCCTTACTGAACACAAAACCCTGTCCCTACCATCACACCTGCCCGGCAGGGAGGTATGACGGGTCCCTGTCCGAGTTACAGGGCTGGCGGGAGTGACGGAGGGGCAGGCAGCAAACTACACACATCGGAGAGAATTCATTCCTAAGAAACCGGGGGCCACTGGGAAGGGATGGACAGTAGCAGCCAAACACCTGACAAATGCCCAAGGCTGTCACATTGTTGACTTCTTTCAGAGAACGTCACACACACTAACATTCACTCTCGTATTTGTCTGTCTCGTTCTTCTAGAATATACATGCCATAAGATTAGAGGCCTTGCAGGTCTATTCACCATTGAGTCGGAAAAGCTTATTACACAGTAGATACTCGGTAAGTATCTGCTGAAGGAATGAATGAGTCTCCAGGTTGCTGCTCATTTAAATGACAATTAAGCTGATCATAGTTTTAGGATTTCAGTTAAAAATGCAAACCATCTCATCTTATCAAACCTCTGTGAAGACGGTTTGGTATTTAGGTTACAGGTGTGTATGTTTGGGAGCTCGCTTCTTTCCTATGATGCATAGGGATTATTCGAGGCACCATTTAATACTAATTTTCAGATACATGAAGCTTGTCTACTCACATTCAAAGGTTTTCCTTGTCTTTATCTAAATCAGTCAAGTCTCCTCTCGTAAATGAGAAATATTACATAAATGGCAGCTTTCATAAAGTCAAGAAGCAACTAGCAGAAATAATCCGTAACTTTCTTTAGTATCTAAAATAATAAATACACTCACAGACCGAAGACTCTGTGTCGTGAGTTTACCCAAAAAAGTCCCCTGTTCAGTGTATCATTATCCCAACGGGTCCTCGGGGTAGCTGGGAAAGCAAGGCTCCACGGGGGGCAAGCCCCTGGTCCTGGGCCTCCTGCTGGGGCCAGGCAGGGATCTGCCGTCAGGGCTGGCTGAATCCCAAGCGCAGGACGGCTTATTTTACTACTGTTACTACCAACTACTCCTCTATCGTGCAGCTTCCCTGAGCACATTTCCTCAAACCTGAGATCCCATCAATGCTGGCTGATGTGCAACGATCTCATGACGTACAACACAAAACACCACTGATCACAGACACAAAACACCACTGACTGGAAGGTTCATCACCATTTCAGAAATGTTCAAACGTGCGTCTATGCACACACATTTACACACACATACACATCTCAGATTCAATAAAATACAGTAATCCACTAGCCTTGGAACAAATGATTCCTAACAAATGTTATAAAATATGAGGGCCCACATCCTTCAGAAAATTAGTTTTACCATCAAGTACAGAAAAGAAAGACAAAAATCCATAAATCTTAAGTATGAATGAAGTTAGAGCAAACTACAAATATCTGTTAAGACATACCCTCTTTAAAAAGTGTGTTTTTTTTTCATCTCTGGCATTAAATCATATTTTTTATAATGTCAGGAGCTGTTCACATCTTCCTGCACATCAAAATGACTATCACTCATTCATATTTTCATACCTCTGAGCGCATGGAAGGACAGTAAGACCACTTTTTTGAATACAGCATGAAAAGGGACTTTAAATCTACCTGCTGTTCTTGACTTCTGTTTGTTTCCCAGAAGTTAAGGAAAGTAATAGTACTTTTTCATTCCATACCGAAGAAAAATACACTCTTTGCTGAAGACACAGCTGAAGTCTCTGTAAAATCAAAGCTCACCAACACCTGGGAAACCACGCTCAATAAAGTCTACATTTGAATGCTCGGCTGGAAGCACACGGGTCTTCGGGGCCCCTTGCCTCTCACAGTGCTCACGTCGTAGGTCCACACAGTGTCCACCCCCTCCCCAGTGACGTGGTCTGGGGTCCAGTGAGGGAAAGGGAACCGACAGGCAATGACTCTGGCGTCATCCTTCAGTTCGAGCGTGAGTTTCTCCTCCAACTGCAGCATCTGTGCGGAACAACAGCCATTATTTCAGTAAGCAGTGAGTCGGAGGAAAAGATGCCCAAACGTTCTTTTGGAGCTGAGTGCCTGAAAATACCTGTGCAAAAATTTGGAACCGTAGGGACGCCTGGGTGGCTCAGGCAGTGAAGAGTCTGCCTTAGGCTCAGGTCATGATCTCGGGGTCCTGGGATTGAGTCCTGCATCGGGCTCCCTGCTCAGCGGGGAGTCTGCTTCTCCCTTACCCTCTGCCTCTGCCCCCGCTCATGCCCTCTCTCTCAGTCTCTCTTTCAAATAAATAAAATCTTTAAAAAAAAAAAAATCAGTAACTGTAAATAATATCCCTTTGGGGCATAAATACGTTATCAAATGATCCATTAAAACACGGAAGTGACATTAACAACAGGGGCATCAGTCAAGTGTCCAACTTTTTTTTTAAAGGTTTTATTTATTTGAGAGAGAGAGAGACGGAGATAGCAACAATAGCGAGATAGAGCACAAGCGGGGAGGAGGAGGAGAAGCAGGCTCCCCACTGAGCAGGGAACCCAACGCAGGACTCGATCCCAGGACCCCGGGATCACGACCCGAGCCAAAAGCAGACATTCAACTGCCTGAGCCACCCAGGCACCCAGTGTCCAACTCTTGATTTTGGCTCAGGTCACGATCCCAGGGTCATAAGACTGAGCCCCACCCTCAGCGGGGAGTCTGCTTCAGATTCTCTCTCTCTCCCTTTGCCCCTCCCCCCCAAAAATAAAATAAAATACTCTTATTTAAAAAGAAACAAATAAAATGAGAAGCAGCTTTAAATTATCTGCCCACCTAACATTTTAATCTACCTCGTCTCAACTATTTAACACACTTTCCCACGTTTTAACATCTCAGAAATCAGGATACATCCTACAGTTGACACAGTCTTAGAATTATAGTTGGCCATATTTTTTTCTCAGTAGCCATGGTACATCCTAAAACTAGTAGCATCTAGATTCGGTGAAATATGGTACTACTAAATTAGACCATGAAAAACTATACTCATTCTACTAACTTGAAATATAATGAAATATTTCATAATTCTTCAAAATTTATAATGCACGGACAACTTCTTCATAGTCAACATAACTTACACAAAGTAAAATCCTCTTATTGATCACTTTTGTATCCTTTTATTACCAACCTACCTGCTACAAGTATTATATCAGCAAATTAACAACAGCTTAAAAACTGATCTTCCGATCCTACCATCTTTACCTCCTAAAACTATTTTTTCCACTTCTTAATTTGTTTTTTTCAAAGAATTTCAAAGTTATAGAAAAGTCACAAGAATAGAACAAGGGATTCCTGTCTTCCTTCACCCGGGTTCACTAATTTTTAATTGTTGATCGTATTTGCTTTATCTGATTTGCCCTCTTCCTCTATGAATATTTTTCCTAAACCATTTGAGAATACACGCTCCTTTATTCCTTGATACTAAGACACAGCCCCAGCTCAGTCATCAAATTCAGGAAATTTAAGATTGTATTCCAATAATAATGCCCATAGCCTTCCAATTGCACCAAATGTCCCAATAACGTCCTTTGTGACACTTTCCTCATGAGGTCATGCTGCATTTAGCTATCATGTTTCCTTAGTCTACTTTCATCTGGAACGGTTCCTCCATCTTCCTTTGTCTCTGCTGACACCATCTTTAGGAAGACGGGCCAGTTATTCACCAGTGGTCCTCAACTTGGGTTCTCCTGACGTCTGCTCATGAGAACTCGGCACGTGCATCTTGGGCAATGCCCCACAAGTGGGGCTGTGAGCTTCTCAGGGCCCCACTGTCGGGTGCCCACGGGGACCTTCTGCTTTGAGAGTGATGGTCACCACCCGGCTAGGGTGATATCTGCTGTCTCCACAGTGGGGTTACTAATTTCCCCTTATAATGAATAATTTGTCGGAGGTAGCTTGAGATGATGTAAATATCCTGCTGCTCAACGAACTGTCCCTCACTAGATGTAGCTTTTTTTTTTTTTTCATTTGACAGAGAGAGAGACTGCGAGAGAGGGAACACAAGCAGGGGGAGTGGGAAAGGGAGAAGCAGGCTTCCCGCTGAGCAGGGAGCCCGATGCGCGGCTCGATCCCAGGACCCTGGGATCATGACCTGAGCTGAAGGCAGACGCTTAACCAACTAAGCCACCAAGGCGCCCTAGATGTAGCATTCTTGATGATTCTGGTCCGAGTTATTTTTCACGGTACGATTGCAAAGTGGAAATTTGCTAATTCTGTCATTCCTTCTAAACTGACAGTCGGCATTCTAGGGCAAGGAAGGGCTTCTTCTACCTGTGTACCTATCACTGTAAGTATGAGCTCCTAGATTCCTATTCTGTTCAATGGGTTCTAATCCACCATCATCCTTGTTTCTTCTGATGCTCAGACCATCCCAGTGTGGCCCTGGGGAGCCTCCTCAAGTGGGCCTCTCTCTCTCCATTGGATGCGCCCTCAACAAATATTCTGAACGCTTCCTCATATTTGTGCTCCACAAAATGCCCCAGGCTTTTCTATCGATCCCCCTCCTCAGCCCTCAGATCAGACACCTCTCAGACATTCCTGGCTCCTCTAAATGGGAAATGATATCTTGAAACCAAGATCTGAGCAAAAACTAATCCCTTTAAAACTAACCAAATAAATCAAGACAAACAAATCAATAGTCCTTCTATGAAGACTTTATTCCCGACCTGTATCTTTAAAAAGTGGCTGGTGAAAGTCCTCCATGTGACCTCTGGCTAGAGTGAATGAAAACTCTTGATTCTTCATGACAATTAATACCAAGATAACCAAGAATAAATTCCATTAAGGATGGGATATTTCTACTCTTTTAACAGCCAATAAAAGATTTCTTCAAAAAAAAAAAAGTTTTGTTCCTCAAAGGAAAAATTAAATAAGCAAAGAATGAGACAATATGTGTTTTTCCAAAATATCAGAGGTTTCTTACAGTAATTTTGTTCATCAAAAGGATCATTGTAAACGCATTCATGTTATCATTATTCTGTTCTCTTTTACGGTTTCTTTTATTTCCCAATGACTGTCATATGCTAAGTCAAGATAAACCCACAAATGAAAGGAGCTATTTCAATGGTAAGAAATTAACTGAGTCAATCACACATAAATATGCAATGAACGTGAGTCTTGATATCACGCACAGAGAGGCAGTGATGTGTCATGTCTGTCTAATGGAATTCAAAATTATTCACACAATTAGAGGTTTCAAAGTGACACGAACTCATCATATTCTAATTACATCTTCAAAACTTTAAACATAAGTTGAAACCAGCTCAAAGATGTAAGACCAAACAGCCATGCCCATGAGCAGCTCTTGATCCATGTGATGGCTCCCTCCTCCCCAAAACACTGGCTTCACTTGGCTTCTAGGGTAACCCCCACCCCCCGCTGGGCATTCCTCCTACCCAACTCCTCCTTTCGAGTCCTTTGCTGGGTGCCCCTCATTTGTCAGAGGCCAAAGTGCAGGCCTTGACCAGCTCTGCCCCCTCCCCAGGGAGCCTCAGCCACTCCTGGGCTTAAACTCCTTCTGGGAGCTGATGCCCAATCTCCAGGCCCCTCTCCTTCCTGAGCCCCAGACGCCCTCTACCCACCACTGCCAACCTCACACCTCCACATACATCTCAGGCTTCCTGATCCTCCTCCTCCAGCTCCTCTGTCCGCACCTTTCCCAGCTCAGTAACAACAACTGCAAACTTCCAGTTGCTCTCACCAAAATCCTTGAGGAATGGTTCCTCTTTCTTGCCCGCCCCACACTGGCTATGCCAACGCATCCTGTTGGTCGCATCTTCTCGACGCATGCAGAACTTGACCGCTTCCAATCAGCTTCTGCACACTGGCACAACCCTATCACACCAGCTGCCTGCAGGAGCTCCTAACCTGTCTCCCGGCTTCTACCCACACTCGGTCTCCACACAGCAGCCCGGGGTCCTTCACAACCCAGGCAGGTCCCTCCCTCCTCTGCTCAAACCCTCCAGGGCTCCTGCATTCCAACAGCACGGCGTCCTTCACGCCTGGCCCCTAGCTCCCCTCTGACGTCACCTCTCCCTGCTGCTGCTGGAACCTAAGAGGCACAGATCCCTGGGGGCCTCCGCGATGGCTCTGCCCGGCACGTTCCCCATACCTCCACGCGTCCCCTTCCCAGGGACACTGTCTCTGCCCCTCCTTCTCCTGCTTTACTCCGCCCCACAGCACTTACCCCTCCTGTTGGACAACATTTTTTTAGGATTTTTTTTTTTTTTAAATAAGCTTTATGCCCAATGTAGAGCTTGAACTTACAACCCTGAGATCAAGAGTCACGTGCTCTGCTGACTGAGCCAGCCTGGAGCCCTTTATATAGGGACGTCATTTAAGATCTGCTCTCCCCGGGCGCCTGGGTGGCTCAGTTGGTTAAGCGACTGCCTTCAGCTCAGGTCATGATCCTGGAGTCCCTGGATCCAGTCCCGCATCAGGCTCCCTGCTCAGCAGGGAGTCTGCTTCTCCCTCTGACCCTCCCCCTGTCTCATGTGCTCTCTCTCTCTCAAATAAATAAATAAAATCTTAAAAAAAAAAAAAAAAGATCTGCTCTCCCCACTAGCATGTAGGCACCTCGGGGCAGGGGTGTTCCTCTTTTTCATTCACTAAAGTATCCCAAGTGATTAGAACACAGTCTTGCACTTTGTGGCACCAAATAAATACCTGTCGAATGAAGAAACGAAGGACACATGATCCCATCATGAATCATTTATCTTTATCAGAATGATGGTAATATTTACGTTCATCAATTCACAACAAGACTCATAACTAAAATTAATCTTTGAAGTTATAAAATTGAATAGCCCACCAGGAAGTGTCCTTACTGGGTACGTTTCATTCATTTCACAAGTATTTCCGGAGTCATTACTTTGTGCTGGTGCTGCCGAGCTGACGGAAAGCTCACTCTTGAACATACATTACAGTGCACACAGCAAACCTGCCGAGGCCACCGCGTAAGGAAATGTGCGATGACTCACTCCGGAGAAGGAACAGGCACTGGTGGATAGAAAACGGGAGCACTGGGGTTTGTCTCACCGAGCAATCAGGGACGACTTCCTGGAGGAGAGGACACCAGACCTGTGAGTGGTCAGGAGGTGTTCACCAACTAGGCCCAGAGCTGGGGGGACTGAAGCCAGAGGGAAGAACACAGCTCACACTGTGGATCCAGGGGCCGAGAGAAGGACAGAGCGCTGACGCACGGAGAGCTGAGGGAGGCAGGGGCCACTCCACGCCAGGCCTTGGGCCCGGTGGAGAGGTCGTGCCTTATCTTCACTGCTTTAAAGCAGCAAGACATCCCATGTGGGTTTTACACAAGGACACGACTGATCTGTTTCACATTTTGAAAAGAGGAGCATGTGCTAGAGTTAAATGTGGGTATTTACCATGCCGGCGCTGGATTTACCAGATCCAGATGAGATTCCTCACCCCTGGTGGGTTAGGTACACAAAAGCAAAGAGCTGTTAGGAACCATCGGTGTGCTATCGGGAGCAGGTGGATGACTTACAACACCAGGCTCCTCCCTCTCCAGTTGCCTAAGCCTTCTCCTGGCTCCCGCATGGCCTCTCTGTGGCTCACCTGCCACAGGAAACGTGGTGCTACACGGGCTTTGCGGAGCCACGTTGCCACGTCGACCAGTGCTCAGACACGGCAAGTGCGTTTCACTGGAAGACGGCCCCATCAGGGCTCCCAGGACTCCAGAGAGCAGAGCTGGCCCCCTGACCCCCAGGCAGCACTTTCCCTCCCCCTCACCGCCTCCACATAGGCAAGGCTCGGTGAGGGTCAAAAGCGGGGCCCTGCACCCACGAACGAGCCCCGGGGGTCCCGTGAACTAGCCCCCTGCGTGGAAAACTGCCCGCTGGCTGAATCCCTCTCATCCCACGGAATGTGGCTGCTTCGTGTTTTCAGCCGCTCCCCTTTCTCTTGGGAACAGTGAGATGCCACAAGTTCTTAAAGTTTCTCTGCATACAGGAAAATGGACAATAATTGCAAAAGCATTCATCAAAAAAACAGGACTCTTATTTCCCGAGTGAACAGCTCCAAAAACTGACGATGCTCAAACATGGTAAAATGCACAAGGAGTTGGAGCCCACGGGTCACTGCTGCCCCTCCCCCCACCCCTGGGACGGAACTGCTGTGACCTCGTAAGCCCACACCTCAGGCCACCACCGGCCAGCCTCTCAGGATGGCATGGAAATTGCAATAAACATCAACTTTCCCTTTTTATAAAGCATGGAATTCAAATCAAATCTATTTGCTCGAAAATGCTGCCCAAACATCATCAGGAGCGGACAACGGTCGAAGCCCATAGCAGTGCTAGGATCCCAAACAGTTTGTTGTCAATGACTAGGGATCACGCCCCTTTTCGTTTCTATAGCAAAAGGGTGAACACCCACGTTTCATCTTAATTTTAGGCTTACTGAAAATTCCAAACATACAGAATCCTGCTACTTTCGAGAATATGTAACAACAGCACTTCTAAATTGACAAAAAAAAAAAAAAAAAGTGCCATTGTACTGAAGTTCCTCGTAGTAAGAATAAATTTCTCAAGCACTGAGCCGTCTTACACAAAAAGGTGTGACTAAGAAAACAAAACAACAAAAAAGTAAATTTCCCTTTTTTTATATTATAAACCATACATATCAGTTATATAGCAGCATTTCAGCAAACATCCAATTTTGCCACAATTATTACAGCTACAATTACAGAGCTTGAAAAGTCAAAACGGATTTCTCTCTATGGTCTGTAAACCAACAATTACAATAAAAGCATCCCATCCTCGTCATCTTTCCAAAGGCTAACTTTGGAACCATTTACAGCATGATGCCACGGTGTTTTCACTTTTTAAAGTATGTAATCTAAGTTCGATACAAATCAGTCAGCTGAGGTCAACTGCAACTAGTCGACGCTCGCCCGCCCTGAAAATCGCCTTACTGCAAAACCGGAGGAACGATCAATTCGAAGGGAACATGCCATTAACTCTCCCAAGTGACTTCAGCTGGCTGTTAAGTGAACAACCGCAAAACTCTCCAACTACATTAGACACCGGGAGCTCATAAAGTAGTTTCCAGATTGGAGTTTTTAGGGCTTAGGTAGATCATTGAGAATTTTATCTGCAGCGAAAGTTTTAACGACATGACTGAAACTTTTATGATTAAACTTTTAATGCCCCGAGGTAGTGTGTCAAGCCAGTGCAGTGAAATCCAATGTCCCCCATCCCCAAATCTCTGGGGGGGCTGCTGTTGGGCACACGGGCGGGTGGCCACACGGACGTGGCCTGTTACAGCTGGAGGGTCTACAGAAGACCTAAAGCCAACCAATGAGGGGGAGGAGGACACGAACTCACCATCTGAGGCACGCCGAAAATAATGACGTTTGAGTACTGCGAAAAAGTTACCTAGAGGAGAGGGGGAACGATGCACAGATTAGTTTTAAAAGGCCAAACATCAAGCTTAACTTTTGTTTCAAAGGGTGCAGCAATGTCCCATTTCGTCAAATAGTAGGTTTTCACAAAGACCTTTAAGACCTCACGAGAAGAAGCCACGTTTATGCTTCTGTTAATTCAATCCACTGCAGTTGTCCAAACACCTCCCCTAAGTCACTCCTGTCACCCGCACGGATGCTCCCAGAAGGGCCCACCCAGGGGTCATCTGTCGGAAACGCCAGTGACTCATCCAGTGACCAGCTGGTGGCTGCACCGGGTGCTCTGGGCCATCTGTGCCCTGATCCACACTCTCTACTCTTCTCCACCATATGCCAAACTAACTCAGCAAGAACGTGTGACATCGGACAAGCACCTGTCTTTTATGTTGAGCCATCCTTAAAATTCTAGTCCCCCTCCTCTTCTCTAAAATACTAAGTAAAAAACGGAATAAAATGATCTTTAGTTGAAAAACTGGGGGGAAAAGTGCTTTGCCAGTCAAAATTCTTATTGCCCAATAAAAGTCTTATTTACTCTATAGAAAGATCGTTTATGTATATATGGTATAAAAAACAATGCAAGCAAAACTCAAGTGAATTTTTATAAGCTACTGATGACAATATTACAATGGGAAACTCTTATTTAAGAAAAAGCATTTTATGGCGCATTCCTAAAGCAAAATTACAGGACTTTTTTTTAGAGTACAAATAAACTTGGAAGTTATCTTTACATTATGAAGACCAGAAAGAACCGTGACAACAGTCAGTGGATTCTGTCTTTTGTACTCATCTCTCTCTGTAGACTCACACGTACACACGCAGCCACACAGAAACTTGCACACACAGAGAAAAGTCTACCATTTACCAAGAATGACATTAACAAGTTAATGTCTATATTATAATTTATAAGATTTCCAAATGAGATAAAAAAAAAAACCCTCATCATTTTGTAACAAAGAGAAATGAGAACTTTCTTAAATGAGCAAATTCTTGGAATTCACATAACCTATCAGGTCTAGAAACCTTAAGCTTCTACTCTAAGAGTTGATTTGTAAATCTATCAATTTAAAAGGTGTTCACATTTCATTATGCTGAAATATACACTTGTATTTTAACTGTTTTTCTTTTAATACATTCTTCAGTTTTTAATTATACTAATTACAAATTACAAAGTTTTGGTTGGCATTTCCTAGGAACATTCTCTGCCTTACATACCTTCCACAAATCTGAAATATAAAATTTGGCAGAGCCGTGCACTCCCTCTCGCCAAGCACAGTATCTGGAGTACCAAACTAGCCAGGGGTTTAATTCATAACCAACGGCTGTGAATCCTGCTTTTGCAGCTGCTATCACCTGCAAAAAGAGACCAGCGTTTATTCAAAGTAAGAAGAAAAATATTGACCTACTGAATGGGAAAAGATCTCTGCAAATGATATGCTATAAGGGATTAGTATCCAAAATATGTAAAGAACTTACACAACTCTACACCAAAAACAACAAATAATCCAATTAAAAATGGGCAGAAGACATGAAGAGACATTTCTCCAAAGAGACATGCAGATGGCCAACCAACACATGAAAAGATGTTTAACATCATTCATCATCAGGGAAATGCAAATCAGAACTACAATGAGATACCACCTCACACCTGTCAGAATGGCTAAAATCAAAACACAAGAAACAAGTGTCGGTGACGATGTGGAGAAAAAGGAACCCTCATGCACTACTGGTGGGAATGTGAATTTGGTGCAGCCCATGTGGAAAAGCACGGAGGTTCCCCCAAAAATTAAAAGTAGAATTAGCATATGATCCAGTCACTCCACTACTGGGTATCTACCCAAAGAACATGAAAACACTAATTTGAAAAAATATACGTACCTCTATGTTTATTGCAGCATTATTTACAATAGCCAAATCATGGAAGCAGCCTCAGTGTCCACTGATAGATGAATGGATAAAGAAGATGTGGGGTATACACATATACACAGTGGAATATTACTCAGCCATAAAAAAGAATGAAAGCTTGCCATTTGCAACAAATGGATGGATCTAGAATGGTACGATGCTAAGTGAAATAAGTCAAAGAAAGACAAATACCGTATGATTTCACTCATATGTGGAATTTAAGAAACAAAACAAATGAACAAATACAGAGACAGACAAACAAAAAACCCAGACTCTTAAATATAGAGAACAAATTACTGGTCACCAGAGGGGAAGCAGGTGGGGGGATAGGGGAAATAGGTGAAGGGGATTGACAGCATGCTTACCATGATGAGCACCGAGTAATGCACACAATTGTTGAATCACTATATTGTACACCTGAAACTAATATAACGCTATATGTCAACTATACTGGATTTTAAAAAATAAACTTATAATTTTTAAATTAATTTAATTTAAAAAAAAAGAAAAACAACTTAACGCGGTCATGATATGACTACTTCCTATTTATGGTCTATAATCACAAAATGTCCAATCAAAAGGCACTTATTTTGTTGAAAACACCATCTAAAGAGAGATCTCCAAAACTATGTAGCTTGTAGACAAGAGAATGCTGGTTTAAACTCAGTTCATGTTTTTGTCAGAGATTTCACCTCGAGCATCACAACTGTAAGGTTTGCTTTGGATAGAGCATTTCTGGATTGGCCAACCCCTGGCTCAGCCCAACGAGAAGTTGCTGAAAATTCACCGTCTCTCTCCATCAGTGATGGCAGAGCAGCAGGCAAAATGAATCTGCCGCTATGGGAGAATGCTTTGTGAACTAGTTCTAATTTGTGATCAAAATGACCAGTCAACGAGATCCGGCAACTGCTTACACATTTCCTTAGTATTTAAAGACTGTTCACTCAAAGTTGAAAACAGGTAAGAGTAAAATGGAACAAGTCAGAATAAAGTCAACTGTAGAAGGCCACCGGCCTCTGTAAGGTGAGGGCAGTGGGCTGGTCCTGGGGTCTCTGCTCATTCTGTCTTGCCACCACTCCTCAAGGGAGCATCCCTGAAGGAGCTGCCCGCCCACAGTAATTTCTCTTACCTATAGTGTCAGCCCCTTAAGAACAAAAGGAAACCACAAAGATACTACTTAGATGTGTAAAGCATTCAAAACTGGGTTTTAAAACTTCCTCCTGGTTCACAGATAAACCTCCTGATTTCCTAAAAACAAACAAGTTATGTTTTAACCTCATCCTGGCCATTCGGGTCACCATGAGGGTGCAAGGTTCATGACCCAGGGAGTGGTGAAAGGAGTCACGCCCCTGCTGGTCTCCAAATGTTTCCAGAATGTGAGGCTTGACTACTGTTATCCTCACTTTCCGAGTCATCGCTGGTTGGGGGCCTAAGGATGGTGTCACCGTGCCCATGGAGGAACGTGCTGCGGACACCCACTGGCCAGTCAGTGGCCCTGAATCTTTACTTATAGGTTCTCAGCTGGAGTCAGTGAGCTGAGATCACTAGAAGTCTGATCTTTGGATAAGTGAGAGCTGATGCACTGGCTCTTTCAAAAACTCTACATTACCCGCAGGAATTATGATGTATGTATAAACACAGATAAGCATAGAAGCAAACATCTATGTTAAACTCCACGACTCCACGTTTCCTCTAATTATACCACCTCTCCTGGCCCGAGTTTTTTTATTGGAAAATTTCATAATTACCAATTAATTTCTCCTTTTTACCTGGCAAATCTACACAGCCACTTTCACCTTTCAGAAAAAATAAATCTGAGAAAAATAAATTCCAATTCCTTCTGGAGGGTTTGAGAGTTCGGCCGAACACACAAAAGAAACCACTACTTTATTATATTGTCAGATTAGCAGGTCTTGGCATAAATCTCATAAGGTGAAGCTGGGATGGGATAGATAGGTGATGGGTATTAAGGAGGACACTTGTGATGAGCACTGAGTGTTGTACGGAAGTGATGAATCACTACATTCTACTCCTGAAACCAATGTTACACTGTATGTTAACCACCTGGAATTTAAATAAAAACCTGGAACCAAAAAAAAAAAGAAAAGAAAGAAAGAAAAAGAAACGAAGGAGGAATTTTAAAACCTCGAGTTTGAAACCTTCAAGTGTCTTAGCATAACTCACAATACGCCCGTCACCACTGCCAATATCGACCAGGGATCCTCTTCTGCAATGCAACATTTTCACAACATTTTCAATCTGCTTTGTAGTTGCAGGTACAAAAGGCAGACAAATTTTTCGGAGGGCCGGCGTTAGAAACGGTGTGGCCACGGCATACACGGCCACCAGCGTCCCGCCAATAATCCCAGTAAATAGGAACCCCCAACTGCTTTTCTTCAAACTGTTGGCTCCGAGACTTGTAGGTAGAACACATCCTGAGTGACTTTCTTCGAGGATTTCCGGGGATGCACCTAGACGGAAAGCAAGCAGGAAATATGTACATCGCACCAAATCTGAAATCCACAGTAGTTTTTTTTTTCCTAGAATACTTATTGACAAACTTGTACTGTTTAAAGAAGGATGATTTAGC